GACCAGAGCAGTGGCGTAGTCAAGGCGGCGGGTAGAGGCGAAGTCAGCGACCACAACGACAAGGGCGTCAAGGCTCGAAACCGGAATAGACGGTTCGGTAACGAGAGAGGCAAGGGCCCGAGGAACAAGAGGACGAGTGGCACGCAGGTAGTCAGACAGAGGGGGGGAGCAACGACAAGGGAGGACGGAGGGGGCGACGGGAGAAGGGGAGGACAAGACGCGTGGGAACGAAGCAACATAGGGTGAGAGCGCGAAACAGGGGAGCCAGGTCGAGCACTGGAGGGACGGCGAGACCAGACGTGAGACGGAGGAGTCGGGTCAGGGGACATAGGAGGGGACACAAGAGGGGAACGAGGGGGGAAACGGGCCGGAGACGAGTCCGGAGGAGGGAACACAGGGCCGTAGACAGGAGGAGGAGGAGGAGGCACAGGCACGGGATCAGGGGACGGAAGGCCGAGCAGGCGAGCGGACATCGGCGGGGACTGCTGCGGCGGCGGTGTGACACCGACACCGGGACCGCAAGCTGCCTGGCGGCTAACTCCAGAACACTCCACGCCAGCACCCCCAGAAGGAACACCCCCAGAGCTCAGAACCCCTCGAGCATCGGTACCACCCCCAGGCCCATCGGGACAAGCCACGACAGGAGTCCCAGGACTAGTACCCACCCCAACTCCAGCACCCCCAGAGGCAACGAGCTGCTGTGACGACGGTTGCGGCGGCGGCGGCTGCAACGACGGTTGCGGTGGCGGCGGTGACGACGGCTGCGACAGCGGTGGCGACGGCAGCTGCGGAGGCGGCGGAGGAGGAGACACTTGAGAAGGGGCAGGCGGCGAGGACTGCGCCGCAGGACCACCAGTGTCAGTAGACTCCTCAACCGGGACAACCGACGTAAGTGGGGTGACGTGGGACACACCAGAGGGGGCAGGACGGGGAGGGCGAGGAGGAGAGGCGGCGACGACCGGGGAAGGGGTGACCAGGAACAAGGGGGGGGGGGTAACCGGGGGACCTCGGTGGGGGAAGCGGCGGAAGAAGGAGACGGACTCGTCAAAGGTGACGTCACAGGAGTTAAAGAACCGGTGAGACGGCGGGTGGTAGAAGTGCCAGTCAGACGCGTCAAGGGGGAAGCCGAGGAAGACACAGGGAAGGGTGCGGGCAGTGAGCTTGTTCGTGCCAGAGGCACGAACGTGAGCAACGCAGCCCCAGACGTAAAACGCAGACGCGTTACCAGGTGATCCAGACCAGAGGAGGGTCGGCGAAACCTGAGGCTGCTGGGGGTGCGGCCACATGTTAAGCTGGTGAGCGGCGTAGCGAACGGCGAACGGCCACAGAAAATGGGGTGCCCCAGCATGGATCATGGAGGTGCGAGCCACCTCCATGACCAAACCGATGCGTCGCTCAGCGACCCCATTCTGCTACGGGGAGTCTGGCAAGGTGAACGTCTGGGTGATGCCCTCCGCACGACAGAAACGACCAAGGACACCAGAGGCAAACTCGCCACCACGGTCGGAGTGGAGACGCAAGACAGGGAGACCGCGGTGGACACGCGCAGAGACAAGCCACGGGATAAAAATAGGAATGGCTCGCACGTCAGCCTTCCGCTCCAGAGGGAACACAGTGGTGTAGCGCGTGTAGTCGTCGACAAGCACTAGGAAATAGCGCTCTCGACGCGGCCCATGGACGGGGGCGGGGCCCGAGACGTCCATGTGTAGAGTTTGTAGTGGTGCTGCAGTAGGGGGAAACGAGGAGGAGTGAGGGGCACGGCGGAGCCAGCCCTCGACACAGGGCGTGCAAGGTGGGGCTGGGGAGGAGGGAAACTCGGGGAACGACCCGAGAAGGCCTAGGACGAGATCGTACTGTGACATGTGACGCAGACGCAGGAGCGCAGGGTGACCTAGGCAGTGGTGCCAGAGAAGAGTCGGGTGAGTGAGAGACCGACAGGAGTAGGCAGCAGCAACCGGGGGAGACGCAATCACCTGAGGGGGGTTCATCGTGTCTAGTATGAAAAGACCGGACACCGGGTCCCGTGGGAACGTGGACAGGGGGGCACCAGTGGCGGCCTCGGTACAGACAGCGTACCGCTTGTGTCCATGGAACGTAGTGGTGACGCCAAGGTCCTGAAGGCAGCCGACACCAACTAGGTTCCTAGAGAACGAGGGGATGTGCAGTCCTGTGAGCGAGCCCGAAGGAACCGCCGGGCAGGGGAGGGTGGTGGAACTGCGGGCGACTACTGGGCCGGAGGAGGGGTCAGCAAGAGAGACTGCGGCAGGGATAGGAAGCGGTGTCAACGTGGTGGAGTCGCGGAAGAAGCACCGGGAAGCGCCAGAGTCGAGGGTGAAGGAGAGCGCGGCAGTGGTGGCCGGAGGCGAAGCAGCGACGGAAGCACCAAGGCTAAACAAAGCAGGGGATCCTACGCCTGACGCAGCAGGGGAGTCTAAGCAAGGCACACCTACACTAGGCAACAAGGGGTAATAAGACGGAAGCACACTAGAGTCATCAACATACATCACATGCAGAGCAATAACAATCTCATCCATATCCATATAAAAAAACTGAACCCTACGATGAAGAAAACTGTGCCAGTCTGGGAGCTCGGGCGACGGGCCGAAACGCTGACGAAACAGGTCGTCCAGGCGACGGAAACAGCGGACGGAGGTGTGACCGATCTTACCGCAAACGAAGCCACGGCGAGGACCGGTCTGGAGCAGGTACTGATAGCGCGCGTCACCCGAACCACCACTCGGCAGCCCACCACGCGCACTACCACCACGTCCAGCGCTACCACCAGCGCCAGGCCACCCGGGCGGGAGACCACTCGCCCGTCTCTGCTGCGGCTGCGACTGCTGCGGCTGCGGCGACTGCTGCGGCTAACGCGAGTCTGACTGCAACGCCGGCGGCTGCTGAGACGGCTGCTCGGCTGCACCTAGCAGGGTCCCCTCGTCTGCACCACCACCAGGAGACCCAGCTCCAGCACCACCTACACCTGCACCCCCACCCCCGCCGCCACGCTCAGCCTTGGGGCGGCGACCCTTCCCCGGACGGACCTGTGCTGCAGCGGCAGTCTCAGCCATAGCAACAGAACCGTCAGAGAAGGTGCACTGAGCGGGGGCGCAACCCTGAAAGATAGGGACCAGCACAGTACCGCTGGTCTGAGCGATAGAGCGGTGGCGGGCCTCTATAGCGGACAGGGTCTCAACAAAGTCAGTGAGGGTGAGGTCTGCGGGATGGATGTTAAGGAAGTGGTCACGGGCAGTGGCAAGACGGTCAGGGAGGCGGGTGGCTAGCAGGTAGAGAGTAGAGGTGAGGGACGGCTAGTGGGCTAGAAGCTGTGTGGGAGTGCAGGCAGCACGCCAGGTCTCGTCTATAGTGCGCAAGTGAGCGGCCAGGTCGGCGACAATAGGGAACGACGCAAGGTCAGGGAAGAGCATGGGGAGGATCAGACGACCAACCGAGGCAGCAGGCGGCGTGGAATAGCGCTGGACAACAGCATCTATGAAAGCCTGGGCAGTGGTGATAGACCTGAAGCGAGGTCGCTCGGACAGAGGGAGGGCATTGCTAATGGCAAGCTGTGCAACAGCGTCACAGGACAGCCAGACAGAGCGAGCAAGGGCAGCGGCCGCAGCGGACTCACGCTCAGCGGACGAGGGATCAGTAGACAGTGCGGCGGGAGGGTCAGGGCAGGGGAGAGTACCGTCAAGATGGACAGACAGAGAGTGGCCATCCTGCCGCTGACCAGTGAGGTGGCGACGGAGGTCAGCAAGCCATGCATCAAACTCAATCGGTTGGCCCTCAGCGTCAAAGCGAAGCACCTCCACCATCAGTGACAATAGAGGGCAGTGGAGAGCAGTACAGTGCGGTGCAGTGCGGCTAATACGGTGCAGTGCAGTGCGGTGCGATGCAGTGCGGTACAGTGCGGTGCAAGGCGGTCTAGTACGGTACCGAGGGTGTTCGCAGGGCAGTGCTGATCGGGAGGAACGGGCCGAACCCGAGGCGGCGGCGGGCTGGCGACGACACGAATGCAGGAGCCGGCCGGCGGACGGCAGACGTGAGGGGCCAGCAAACGGCGACAACGGGGGCCGGCGAGGAGCTGGCGCGACGGTGAGTAGGGCCAGCCACGACGGCGAGGAGACACGGCCGCGACGGCGGCCAGGGACAGCCGCGACGGCAGCTAGGGGCGGCCGCGACGGCAGGAGTGACCGTGAGGCGGCTGGAGACGGCAGCGACAGCAGCTAGGGGCGGCCGCGACGGCGAGGGGGCGGCCGTGAGACGGCTAGGGGCGGCCGTGGGACGGCAGGAAACGGGCGTGATGGCCAGGGGGGGGGGGGGCGGCTAGGGACGAGCGCGACGGCCAGAGGGGGGACCGGCTAGGGACGGGCGCGACGGCCAGGGGGCCGGCTAGGGGCGGACGCGGCGGCCAGGGGACCGGCTAGGTGCAGACGCGACGGCCAGGGGGCCGGCTAGGGACGAGCACGACGGCCAAGGGGCCGGCTAGGGACGAGCGCGACGGCCAGGGGGCCGGCTAGGGACGGGCGCGACGGCCAGGGGGCCGGCTAGGGGCGGACGCGACGGCCAGGGGGCTGGCTAGGGATGAGCGCGACGGCCAGGAGGGCTGGCTAGGAGCGGGGCACGATGGTGGCTAGGGGGTGGAAGCGTGGGCGGGCTAGGGGGGAACCTAACCTACTATGATACCATGTCAGAAAGAATAATTGAACTAGAATGTGTGAGTACAAGGGTATATAAACTAGGGTGTTGTACCCTCTAAGGCACAATCCAGTATAGTCTACAGTAACGACCTAAGTTACATTTGACACAATGCACATCTAAAACTTTCTGTCCTCAAATATAACACCAGGGTGCTATAGCCTAAACATGAAATAGAGCACCCACCCCCCTGATTTTGCATGAATTTTGTACTATACCCGGGGTGTTATATCCGTGGGATTACGGTATAAGCCCACTAGGCTTAATAAATGGCCGCGCCTATATCCGGGTGATTACGGTACAAGACATAGTATTTTCTATTCCATGGGGGTCTTATATCAGGGCTTTTACCGTTCTAAATTTCCACCATTTCAGAACCAGCAAGGTCAAAAACGCTCAAGGCTTCACTTTCACCTAATAGTAGATTAAGAAAGCTCTCACCGTGATTGTGCCAGTCTCTAGGTCCATCCAGGCTTCCACACTCTCTCCACAATACATAGTCGTGAATTTCCGAGGTTGGAGAGATAGAAAAATCCGGTTCAGGTCCTCCATCCTCGGCATGCTCAAGCACTCCCAAGGGAAGTGCCGGGAAAGCCTCATCTGCAGCACCACTTGCCGAGCAGTCCTGCAACGCAGAAGTGAGCTGCAGCTGCTGGTCCACCTTAGCACAAGCAGCATGGAAAAACCCCAGGCTGTGGTTGTCGTGGGGTGCTGTTTCTTCGGTACGCCTCGCCCGTTTGGCACAAGGCATGTCTTCCAGAGAATCGCAGCCCATCCACTGCTCACCAATTCGAGCCCTATCTTGGACCAATAGTGTTTCACAGCTGTTGACAGCAGAAGATATGTTTCCAAGGAGCGTTGTAGGGGAACACAATTCAACAATAGGAGAATTCTCCAAGCTGGAGCCAACTTCTGAAGAACAAGCAGCAGCTGATGGGCAGACCAATGCGGGCCACTGCTGCCCATCCTGCGGAAACACTGCAGGGGAAACGGCTGCTGGCTCTGCATCCACTGCTGGCTCTGCAGCCATTGCTACTGCACTGCTGGCCGATGTGGCTGCCGTAGCACAGGAAGTGAGCAATGCGGGAGAATCCGATAGCGGGGCAGAATTAAAACCGTCAGGGTCAGCTGGGAAAGAGTCAGGTGCAGGGCTAGCAGCACTGCCTTCTGTGACGGCGGGTTCAGCGGGAGAGCCACGTATAGGGGGAGAGCCGGGTACAGGGGAAGACGCAGGTAAAGGGGGAGAGACAGGTACAGGGGGAGAGCCAGGTACAGGGGGAGAGACAGGTACAGGGGGAGAGACAGGTACAGGGGGAGAGACAGGTACAGGGGGAGAGACAGGTACAGGGGGAGAGACAGGTACAGGGGGAGAGACAAGTACAGGGGGAGAGACAGGTACGGGGGGAGAGCCAGGTACAGGGCCTTCAGTTACAGGGCCTTCGAGTACAGGGCCTTGAGCAGCTCTGCAGGGGATGGCTTCAGCAACCCTGGGGTTGTCACGCTCCTGAGATGCGTGCTTCTGGGTCGGCGAGCTCAGTTCTTCGTTGCAGATGCGTCTAGCGAGAGGAGCGGGGTGGTTGTGATGGGGGGTGCTGTAGTTGATGTGGATTGTGGATAAGGTGAATTGTCGCCGCCGGTCGTACTCCACCGTCTTCTTAGCTGCGCAGGCGGGCTTGCTCTTGGAGCAGTAGCACTTGTAGTAGCACCTGTAACACATGGTGGTTCATACACGTTATTGAGTCGGCCATGGTGATTGTTTCAAACGTATTTAGTAGGGCCCCAAAAAGTGTGTTTTGTTGTGAACGGAATAATTTATCATGACTTGTCCACCAACTCACCGAGTGATGTAGGTGTTGAATATATTCTTCTGACCGTACTTCAGCCACAGATACCCGTCAGCGCGAACAATCTCCTGCATCATGCCCACATCAATGGCCGATTCCTCGCCGTGGGTCGACATCTTGGATATGCCTCACAACCGAAGCTTCTCTTGGCAATGCGGTAAAATAAAGCGTTGTCGGAGAAGGGAATGGCCACATACAGCTTCTGCTACTACTACTAGAGACCAATAGGCTGGAGCTTGAAGCTGGAAACTCCGGCTGGAGTGAGTGACTGTTCCCGACACCAGACAGTCCGCCGGGGCGACCATTGAGACAACTTGTACACCGCTTTGACGCCAACTGCTTGAGAACGAGAGCCCTTCGATCACCATCCACGGCTCAGCCGTTGAATCAGGACGCAAAACCCGATCCCTATGTTTCGGCTCGGGTCACCCCCGGGCAGTGCCCCAGTGGGTCACCGACGTGCCTAGCACCAAACCTGAATCACGGTAGGAAGCTCTTTCGGTCTGTCGCAAAACGTCGCAGCGACGCAAGGCATCTTTCCACAGGGGAGAAAAGTTCAGCTACATCCAACGGCGTGCTCCAGACGGCTAGTTCCACACCGCAGAAAGAAGCTGTATGCATCTTGGCCCAAAACCAAGCTAGTATTCTGTAATCCACAGAGAATCTTGTGGCTTACGTGCTTCAAGCTCACAAAAAACCGTCAAATGCTTGGCAAGTTGGCACGGAAAATGCGTTTCGCGCACCCTAGAGGCGCAATCGGCGAAGATTTTGCACAGCTTACGAAACATGTTACCAGACACAGTTGCGCAACTCGAGCCAAAAGCGCAACTGTACATTCCACGATCTCAAGAGCTTCGGCAGTCGGACCAAGCGCGTCAGGTTCGGACTTTGAACTCTTTACAGTACGGGAGGAAGGCACCGCCAAGCAGGTTCACGCTGGATCAGTCTAAAAGCGGCAACGAGAATCCCTGCCAAAACAGTGAGCTCCTTTGCTCAACAAGCTAGTCTTTCGCTAATTTTGTGTTGTTTTGAATGGAAGTACTGAAGAGAACGATGGGAATGTCATTAGGTGCAACAAATGGAAAACTGACATAAATGAAGGAGGCTCTTTTTTACAATTCACTAACCAACTCTTTTTACCACCCCTACTTTTCAAGAGCACAATCAGTACTAACGACCAATCAGGTCGAAAACGCTAAGAGGGTCTCTCCCACCCAGGAAGCTGAACACGCCGTGCAGTGCACACTTCTACCAGGCCTTGACATCACGGGCCTGCTATCATGCCTGTCACCATGCCCACTGAACGAAAACCAACTGAGACTTCTGTCAGTTGCAGACTTTACAGTCCCACAAAGGAATTACCCCGCGACGCCGTTGTCCCGCATGCACGAGGCAACTCGTTTCAATGGAAAAGTCTCTCTGTGAGAGCCTTGGCCATCCAGACTGCCACACTCCCCCGAGAATTGGCTCCCATCTCCTGCTTCCAGCCAAGGCGCCTCCTGAAGAAGGTCCTGGAACCAGGCATCGGTGTTCGTAAGGCCAGGCGGAAAAGCCAGTAGAAAGTCCTCCGCTGCAGCAATTCCAGCAGGGCTGCACGGCTCAGGGATGCAAAAGTCAGTGCCGCACAGCTGCTCCAAATCTGCAGGCACTGCCTAAAAAAACCCCATGCTGGGGGGGGAACAGCCTGCAGAGGACGTTGCCTCTTCAGTGGGTGTCAGACGGACCCTCTTAGCGCACGGCCAGCCTGCATCCTGAGCGTTGGTTTCCTCCAGGAATTGGCCGGAATCCCGCCTTCAGCCGTAAGCGCTTTGCAGGAGCTGAAGAGGAGAGATGAAACGGCGGGAGCATCTGTCAGAGACGCAGTCGACTCCCCACTGCTCTGCGGCTGGAGATTTGTACCATACGTGGCAGCAGCAGCAGCCGCCGCTGCCGCACCACCACCAGCCGCCGTGTCCGATCGCAGATTGGTGGGAGTGGGACTAGCTTGAGAAGCGTGGGTAGCAGCGCCTCCATTGGAGGCGAATTCAGCAGGGGAGCGATCGTTGCTGGGGAGCGAGGCCAGAGTGACGCTGCTGATGGTGCTGATGCCACTTATGCTGCTGATATTGCTCATGCCGCTGAGGCTCCACGAGCTCGATTCCGCGGCGTTGGAGGAGCAGCCCTGCGCGATATTGCTATCGCCAGAACGGTTCAGAGGAGTGGGGTGGTTGTGGGAGCGGTTGGTGTAGTTGGTTCATGTGGTGGACGTTGAGATGGGAAGGCGGCGATCGTAGTCGACTGTCTTCTTGGCCGGGCGGGGGGGCTTGTTCTTGGAGCAGTAGCACTTGTAGTAGCACCTGCAGCAGCCATGAAATCCCAGCCAAAACAGCCAAATGCAGCCAATTAGACATGCTGGAAAACGCCGCTATCCTGCGTAAGCTAATACAGCACTGGAAAAAATGGAAACCCCGCTACCTGTGGTACTGTTCGTCTCATTTTCGGTGTGAGTTGTGCGCGAGTATAAGGGTCGAGCATTGTAACGCATGGGCTCTGCATAGTACGCGGACCTAGAAACAACCTTCCCAACCGCTTTCCACAAATCGGCTACCTATGCTAGGTAGCGCGAAATGGGAAGGAAGGGTTGGGAGGGGAGGATTGGGATTGGTCGACACTTGGGACCAATCAGATTTTAGTTGTACAAATTGAGTTGGCGAAATTCCCAACTCACGCGATGGTTGGATTTGCGACCAATCAGAACCAGGGAGTTGGTTGGCAGTGCCAACTCAACTCGAATATTCTTATGCTGTACACTATATGCTAATCTGAATATATTGCTGTAAACCTCTCATTGGTTGGAAATCTAACCCTTTTGCCACATAAGCTAGCTCACCTCCTTGGAGCCATGGAGGAGGTTGAGCAGCTGCTGGGAGTCATTGGAAGGGGTCTGAGCTGAGAAGCTCATTCTCAACTTCCCACTCCAAGAAATCAATCTTGAAATGGGATTTTTCTCTAAGTCATGAGCTCTCCTCACAAGCTTCCCTACACTAGTGGCTTCTAGTGGGATCTCCTAGGGGAAGCCCTACCCAGCCAGAGTCTCTAGCATTTTTCTTCAAGGGCCTTCCTCAAGCTTCAGCTATCTCTTAGAGGAGGTTCCTCCTAAATACTACGCTAGGGGGATCGTTAGGTTCATTTTGTACTCCATTTTATATCCTATGATCTTGGATGTTGGGTTTGGGACTTCAACCCTTGTTGCCCATGGTCTAAGGGCAAGGGTTGTTACAAGCATTGCTCAAGGGACCAGCTTACCGTATGGTGTGGCTATTGTGTATGTTTTTCTGCCCGTACTTGAGCCACATGTACCCGTCGCCGCGCAGAATATCCTGCATGGTCTCCTCCATCGCCGACGACGCCGGCGCTCCCACGGAAGGCGCCATGAATGGTGTGAGCGTGTCCCGATGTGGCGATCCGGACGTGGCTGTGGCGTCAGCGCGCGCGATCGTATCCTGCACGTTCGCTTCCATCGTCGACGATGCCGGTCCCAGCGGAGAGTCCATGACGGCTGGGAACGACACGCAATGCCGGTGGGCGTGTTACAGATATGGTTTTGAATCGGAACTGGCGAGTTAAAACTCCGAGGTTCCCGCCGAAAACAATTATAGCCTAAGGCCAGAAGGTCGAAATCAAAGGTAAAATAATCGCAAATCGCGGTACTAGAATGGACTCCTTGAGTCAAGTGGGAGGCGAATCCTTTTTAAGGTTCTGCCGAGAGTCCCGCTGAGATTATTGTGGGGAGTATCGCCGGGGGTATTGCCACCGGGAGTATCGCCAAGTCCAGGGAGATAACGCGTGAAGCGTTCTATTGTGTGCACTGAGGAGGTACTGTAAGCGAGAGCTGTGCGAACCGTATCGGCACGACAAGACTCTGAAGCATGAAGAAAGAAGCTCCAAGCTCGTCTAGGAAAGGAGTCCTCTATCTCTAGATTCTCCATGGCGGCCAAACCAACTCGCGGACGACAGTTTACGGGAAGGGTAAAAGCGGCCGCTGAAAAAGAATTACACGTGGCAAAGCCAATGCCCAATCGTGTGGAGGTACTGTGGTGTGGCAGACAACGCTTCAAGCCAAATGCTACAGCCAGCAAAGCAATCGTTGCAATCACTCCGCATGTGTGACGCTCTAGGCGAGAGCCTATGACAATGGGTGGATGGACACAAAGAGCGTGTTCCTACGAGCCTCTTCCCAGGCAACCTCTTCCCAGACTCACGCGTGACCTTGAGATCGTGTTCCCAAGACCACTTTTCGGAATCCTCCCGTTTCATATTTGCGTTCCCTCGCTCTCAACCACATAAAACCAGCTGGCGTCGAAATCTTACTGTGCAGATTCGCGCTTGTCTGAAATGTGTTTGTCTGAAAACATGTTTTAAAACACGCCCCTGAATCTCGGGAATCCGAATCTCACTTCGCACTTCGCGGAATCGCACTGAAACATTTCGCGTCAAAATTTGCGACACTGTAGCACGCGAGTCTGGGAAGAGGTTGCTTGGGAAGAGGCTGGTAGGAACACGCTCTAACTGAACAACAAGTACTCCACCATGAGAGCTGGGGTTTGAGCAAGCTCTCCAGTTCAAAACTTTTAGGGCGGTGCAAATAGTGTTCCGTAGGGTGCAGTCGAATAAAACCATTGTACAGAGTGGTGCAAGATATTCTGAAAAAATTGTACTGTATAATCACACATGCCAAACACTTGTGTCGAAGAGTCCTGCCTCTTCTATGGACACACTGCTGACTGTCGACACACTAGTCCCACGTAACCCTGCGTTGCCGTCGATTGGGAAGCTGGCGAGAAGTGTGTGGTGGCGGAGTGGCCGAGCGAACTCACGGGCGAAGTGAAATAGATTTGCGACACTCGCATGAGCTATCATGATGTGTGGGACCAGACGAAGGCGAGATAGTACATGCACCCGTCTTCTGTTCTGCTCTGTTCCTTGGTCAGGCTGATCAAGAAAATCAGTTGCTGCCCATTGCGACCGTTGCTGCCCCAAGAAAATCAGTTGAGTCGGGTGAGCTTGTATCAGGTTTTTGTCCAAAATTTGGACGTGAAACGTGGGTCACGATCGCTGATGATTGCCGAGAGGATGCCGTGTAGTTGCACGATGTTCGTGAGGAACAGTTTTGCTGCTGTCTGCTCGACAGTAATTGTCGCCTTGCAGGCGGCGAAATGGGTCGTTTTGGTTAAAGCGAGAAGCTATAATAATGACCCCCGCTTCGAGTTGGACCCAACTCGAAATGGTTCGTATCAAGAGTGTATTGGTTGGAACAAGCGTGTTTTTTTTTTTTTTTTTTTTTTTTTTTTTTTCCTTACAGTTCTTACATGGCCGATCCTTGGCGAAAATATTACAAACGGACATTTTGCCTGATTGTCGCATAACACAATCACTCGCTACGCTTCGACAAAACTAGCTGCGGATCTAAAATTTGGAAGCCAAGGCAGACCCTTCCTCGTCAGATGTCACTTCCAAGCCCTGCAAAGCGAAACATTTCACCAAAGACAGTGCAAAATACCAGAGAAAGAGAGAGTGAGCGAGCGAATGCAAAAATCGAGGGCATGTGATCAAACATGAGTGGGGACAGATACGCGTGAGAGGTGTGGAGAGAGGGAGATATGGTGGGAGCGACGGGCGAGCGAGTGTGGCGCGGCGGGAAGGGAGCGGCATGGCGAGACGCTCGCTCCTCCTCCTCTCTCTCTCTCTCTCTCTCTCTCTCTCTCTCTCTCTCTCTCTCTCTCTCTCTCTCTCTCTCTCTCTCTCTCTCTCTCTCTCTCCCGCTGCGCCACTCTTTCCCTATTCTCACCTCCGCCTCTCTCCTAACCGCGCCACTCTCCTCCACACTGCGTCACTCTCTCACTCTGTCACCGCGTCTCTCCCGCTAACGACGCCCCTCGCTCTCTCTCTCTCTCTCTCTCTCTCTCTCTCTCTCTCTCTCTCTCTCTCTCTCTCTCTCTCTCTCTCTCTCTCTCTTCTCTCTCTCTCTCTCGCCGCGTCTCTCACCCTTTCTCCTCGCGTTTCTCCCTCTCTCGCCCGCGTTTCTCCCTATCTCGCCCGCGTTTCTCCCTCTCTTGCCCACGACTCTCCCTCTCTCGCCGCGTTTCTCCCTCTCTCCCCAAGTCCCTCTCTCTATCGCCGCCTCTCACCCTTTCTCCCCACGTCTCTCCCTCTCT